TATATATATATATATACTGTCAGTACAAAGCAGTGATGTAAAGTAAATATGTCATTCACTGACTACAGTGTGTTAAAGGAGTTATCTGTCTCAATAAGGAAAGGAAAACGCTTGTATTGGTCAAGGGCGACTTAGTTGTGTAGAAGGTTACATTTGGAATTTTGTTTTGGTTACAAGCATGCCTTTTTGACAAAGTTAACATGCTAAAGTCTAGAGATGTTACCAATACCATTTTTTTCTTCACAATACGGAATCCGATACCTGTTGTCTATTGTCTATCAGTATACAACTAAGCATGTATGAATTCTATCATTGTTGAATGTTTTAGGTGAAGTATTGGAGGGGTTTCCGATACTGGTATCATTATCGGAAAAACTCTACTAATTGCAATTTAGTTTGGAGTATTCTGCTGGCTTACATCTGTGTGTGTGTATATATATATATATATATATATACATATGGTGAGATAGGAAAGATAATTAAAAAAGATAACACATCAGACAATGTAGATTCAAAGACAGGTAAAAGTATGTGGGAGGAAGAGATAAGCCAGCCTCCACAAAGAATAGAGCACATATATAAATGTATTATGACAGTGACGCTTGTTCAAATTGATATTCATCTTTCATCCATAGAACATCATAGATCAACTCTGTCAACACGTAGTTTTCTGACTTGACCACACACACCCCCCCACCACACACACACACAAAGACTTCATTATACAGGAGGTTGCAGAGGGTGACAGTGGCAAGGAACAAAACCAAACCTCACGACAAAAGGAAAAGGCAAGGAGAGCAAGGGTGGGAGAGTGTGAGGTGAGGCAGAGGTGAAGAGGGATGGAGAGATAAAAGCTGCATGTTGATAGCATAAATGGAAGTGACACACATCAAACGGGCTGCTCTCTGTGAAGCTTTTTACTTTTGATTTTTTTTTATTCAATTTTCTTTCATTTTTATGTGTGAATTAAGCTCCCCCGAATCAATTATGAGTGTGAATTATCCTTTCCTGCTAAGCCTCAGTGTAAGGGATTAACTCTGCAGCCCTGCCTGGGGGTTGGCAAAGCTCTGAATTTTGTGCTAAAATTGAAGGCTAGCCTTAGCTGCTACAATTTTCCATCTGCCTCCGGTTGCCTTGTTGGATGTGGAAAGCTTTCAATAGGTCATCACATGGCAACCTGAAAAACTGTTGCACCGCTTTGTAACCATCTGAAACCACTTGACTCAACCAAGCGCAAAGGAGAAACTACGGTGGCTTTGGGTAAAAAAACATAAGTATTTGGTTTGTCTCTTCTTGGGTTCCTGTTGAAACATGGTGTAGAAACATTCTTATCTTCAGGGAATTATACACTAATAATTATGAATACTATACTGTATTCCATTTCTGCCAATAGATCATCCTAAATGTTACACACTGGAACTCTCATACAGAAAAGTATAGTATCACTAATGCTACATGTATAGCTACCTCCACTATCATATGATCCTTTTAACATGGTCGCCCATTTACAAAGACTCATTCTGCACCATGCCTGCCTTGTGTTATTTTCATTCCGTGCCATTTATAGTCTGATCCCATGCAAACCCTCCCTTTCATCATGCAAAAGTCAATTTTCTCTTGTCAGATCAGAAGAGTCAATTTTCAATTTGACCTTGGAACTGCCATCTGTTTTCCTAAATATCAGATCATGCCAGCTGGCTTGCGGTCAAAAATCAGTTATTATAAGTTCCAGTATGTAACATTTAGGAAGATCTGAAGTCAGAAATAGAATATAATATTTTTAAGGTATGTTTTCATTAGTGTATAATCACCTGAAAATAAGAATCGCTGTCTTTATCTACAGGGAGAGAAGGTCCTCTTCTACAGAGTCCGCCATGTTGAACCGCCATGTTTTGAGGCCACCGTTTTTCTGGCAACAGGGTTCAGCAACCCTAACTATCAAAAGAGCCATTTTTAGAGCTACAAACATATTTGAGCCTTATAATGCAAATTTTTTGTAGCAGTTAAAAAAAATCAAAAAATCTGTCCACGCACTACTGCTATTAAGATTTGGGAAAATATGGAGGAAAAGACACTAGGTCAGGTTGTAACGTACAATGCACATTTTAGTTGATGAAATGTGGATTAAAAAAATTATTTGGTGTGTAATAGAAACACACTTTTGCATGAATATCAGAATCACTTTGGACCTATAACAATAATGAATGAAAATGTCACAATTTTTTGCCACTGAAATCTAACGCACAGATTGCCATTGAATTTACACCAATCAGTCATAACATTCTGAGCACCTGGGTATACCAACACACTGTGATACACAGTGTGTTCTTACACCTTTCTATCAGAACCCGCATTAACTGTTTCAGCAGTTTGACCTACAGTAGCTTGTCTGTTGGATCGGACCACTCGGGCCATCCTTCACTCCCAACGTGCATTAATGGGCCTTGGCCCCCCATGACCCTGTCTCCGGTTCACTGCTTTTCCTTCCTTGGATCAATTTTGATAGGTACTGACCTATGCAGACCTGGAACACCCCACAGCCATCTAGCCATCACAATTTGGCCCTTGTCAAAGTCGCTCAAATCCTCACGCTGTCCATTTCTCCTGCTTCTAACACATCAACTTTGAGGACAAAATGTTCACTTGCTGCCTGGTATATCTCACCCACTGACAGGTGCCATGATAATCAGATAATCAGTGTTATTCACTTTACCTGTCAGTGCTCACAATATTATAGCTGACCGGTACATATTCCCATGGGCAAAAACAACAATTTTTAATTTAATAACACCATGTTCAGGCCCATTACTGGTAAGGCAAAATTGACAGTATATTGTTTGTTGTAATGATGTAATTTATTGTAATCTAATCATGCAGTACTGAAGTATGCTACCTTAGCATGCGGACTAGTGCTGGTATCCCTCCAGACTTGAATATGGCCAGTAGTCCCTCCCTCTGATGGGACAGGCTGTGGAGCACGCTGGCAGCGCAACGGGCTGTCTCCATGTCAACTGCTGTCGTCATGGCACGCACCACAGCACCCACCATGGCCGGGGACTGCACTAGCACCCGGCGACTGGCCTCCTTACGGGTCAGTTGGTTGACTATCATGGCCGCCTTGTTCACCACAACCTAGAGAGTAGAGAAAGTGTAAAATAGAACATGTGTTTCTGAAAGCTCAGTTAGCAAATTAGTAGTGATTCATTGTGACCGTGTCTTACCGGATCTTCATCTGCCAGAAGCTTGGTGAGCTCTGGCACCGCCCTGGTGGCCAGCTCAGCGTCGTCCTGGTAGTTTATCAGGTGGACGATAGCAGTCTTCAGCAGCTGGGAGGGTTCAGCCAGTCGCTGCACGTTGCTCTGCTGTGTAGGATCTGACTGGACGGGTATAGCCGCCTCCCCTTCCACCAGGGTCTCTGGGAACATGGCAGCCCTGACACGCTGAGCCCGGGTTAGTGAGTACTGAGCATCTAAATCTGTCATAGGAAGGTGGAGATAGAGAGAAAGGAGGAGAGAATGTGAGACTGCTTATGTGTGTGCATGAGTGCGTTATCACAGACAAAAACCTCTGGACTGTTAAATATAAAAACAAAAAGAGGTGCTGTGTTAAGGGTGTACCATCAGAACTCTTAAGGTGTTGAATGGTTTGTGATAAGTGCTGACTCTGGTTCGATGTTGTGGCAGTCCAAAGGGAGTCCCACTTGGATGCTTTTGATGGTCTTGATCCTGTTGAGTGAACAGTGCTGTGTTTGGGCCTCATTTATAAAGATCTGTTTTGATGTTAAGTATGACGTATGCAGAAAACAACGTATAAGTAGTTATTTATAAAACCTTACTTTTTTACGTGGAAATTACCTTATCTTTAAGCAAAGTGTAGACTTGACATAAGGGGTTTTCCTGCTGGTTATGTAGGGGTACTGCAGCCTGTGGTTTTGCATGACAACAATGTGACAGCTTATACAGGGGTCTCTGATGATCCTATTCACCTTCTTCCTACACCGCAAAGTAGTAGTTCCTCCTTGGATGGCAGCTTCGTCCAGGTGATCTAGAGCCTTACGTTTGAGGGCAGTGCAATTGCCCCACAGGTTGTGGACTTTTAGAAACAAGTGGGGTCTACAAAGAGGATCAGTCAGAGGTTGAAAATGTCTGTGAAGACCTCTGCCAGTGGGCCTTGTATGTAATAATCCTTTTGAAGGTTTTGCCCACATCAGAAGTAAAACTGAGCAGTGATCTGATTTGCCGAAGTGGAGGCAAGGGAAGGCCTTATATGCATCCTGGAAGAGAGTGTAAACAAGTGTGTTACCTTTCCTCAGTTTGGTGGTTTTAAAATCCCGAGCCACAATAGGAGAAACCTCCGGCGATAAGGTCTTTTTCTGTCAATTACTCCATACTACTTAGGGTTTGGTTGGTGTCAGCATGTGGTGGAATACACTCCACTGTGAGAACGACCAGCGTAAACTCCCTAGGGAGATAATGAGGCCAGCATCCGATCAGAAGGGGTGCTAGCTTAGAAGAACAGCCCCATGACCCTTGTTTCCTTTGTTGCCTCTTTTTTTCAGGTGCATCAGCCATAGATATTCCTTACTGTTCATTGATCATGGTGAGGAAGAGACCAATTATCTCATGTGCAAAAGTTGTTCTTCATCATATTGTATGATACGGTTTGTTTGGTTGCGTGCATGATATAAAAAACGAAACGGAAAAAAAAACAGCTGAGTTGAGGAGGAGCTCGAGATCCCCCTAAAGCCATTCTTGCTACCATCTACACTAACCTTTACTTGCAGCTCAGTGAAGTTGTACTTTGGCACAAAGGCAGGGCAACTGAGCTAAATGCTACTTAATATACTGAGCATTGTTTATATGTTGATGTTTAGCAGTTATAATGTTTGTAGGTATAATGTTTTGATGTAACAATCTTCAGTGTGTTAACATTTGCTAATTTGCATTACACATGAAGTGCAGCTGAGGCTGATGGGAAGTCCAAAGGATCACCAATGTTCCCCAATGTTCCGCCCATTTATCTTTGTGGAGAGATTTCAGTTGACCAAAATTGCCGTAGACCTTTTTTCCCAGCAGCCATTTTGACATGAAATAGTAGTAAACAAAGATTTAGCAATGATACTAATAAAGTTTCCATTCAAGACAGAGTCAGGGTGCTGCTATTGTGCATGCTGGCTCTGCTAAACTAAATGGAACAGAACCATTAGTATCATTGATAACACCTGTGGTTACCCTACATTTGCATGTCAAACTGGCTGCTGTGAAAGAGGTGCACTTTTTGCAGTGTCATTAGAAAACAAACATGCCTCTGAAACCCACTCCTCACTCACTTAATGAGCCTCTGAAATGCAATTTGGAGCCAAACAGTATTTGAACCTTTCAAGTGCAGAACTTGGTGCAGCTAATTAGGATGATGTGTACTTAAGCTTTACAAGATGAAGCAGTGGAATAATTGCAGAGTTTAATAAGAAGAATATAACCATCTGCTGTCGAACCTAGAGGCTGATTTTTAATTCGCTAACTGAGTGGTAAATGATATTTCTTGTTGAGCCTCAGGTGTTATCGTCATTAAAGATATTTTATAATCGTGCCTAAGGAGGAATAATTGCTTGACTTAATCTCAGAGCTGATGACAGTCTTGTAAATTCACCCTTATTATCATTACTTATTAGAGGGCAATAGTACTTGTGAGTCTGAAGAATGTTTCACTGCAAGCAAAAGAAGAAATCTCCAGTACCTATAGTACAATGCAAATTCAGAGGACATCTTTCCAGGTTCAGAGGAAGTTAGGGGAAAGAGTAAGAGCAACTAGAGATTTCTGGAAAAAAAATCAAAATTTAGCTGGCTTTTATCTGTATTAAGAAGCATCTGAAGGTGTATGAAGAGATGGAAGTGGGTCGAAATAGTATAAATGAACCAAGAAAAAGCAACTCTATTCAGAAATCTTTTGACCATGGGGGAGCACTGAAATTCAACGCCACACCACAGACATGAAACAGATAATCTCAGTAAAAATCGGGTTCCTTTGGCTCCTCCTAGTGCTCTTAATGTTAATTGTAAGAATCCACCAGACTAGCAACCACTTCGAGCTGAGATAGTTGATTGTTATGTCTCACTCCCAGGGCGTCAAATACAGACACTTTGGGACCCTGGAAATGAGACTCAGTAATCAACTATCTCAAGCCTCCAACCCAAACCGTCT